GAATATTCATAAAAACTCTCAATGACACAAAAATAACACTGAAAATGTATAGTGAATATGGGCTATCTAACTTCAAAAAAGGCCAAAAAAAGTTTATACAATAGTTTATACAATTTGTGTGCTATATTTCAAGTTATTCAATAGTTTTGCATGAGGAATAGACTGAAATATAAGGTAAATTCGCTCATAAGGAATCAAACGCTGGAAATAAAGTATAAAAATAGTTTATAGTCCTTTTTGGAGCTTGGCAACTTCTAGTCACTCTATGCTTTCATAATTTATGGAAAAGCAGCAGCAAAAATAAAAAAAAGGAAAATCATGGGTTTGGATCAACATGTGAGCGAGTATGTGATGACTGACAGTATTCATTTATGGGTGAACTATTTATCTAATTTGATATGTAAAACCAGATGTTTTATTAAAAAGCTTGGGATGTCATCTTAACACCTGGACATCATCTTTTGAAGAAAAACCTCAAAAGAACCGCGAGAACAAACCCTCAGTCAGTGTAAACAGCTGCTACCTACTGGCAGTAAGTCACGTATCGCTCTGCAGAGCGTGGAATGACCCTTCTGCGGTCATATTATGAGCCGTCCTGCTCTGTGTGCGCGGTACGAGCGGTGTCAGGCCCCGCTGCATGCTGGGAAGATAGAGAGGGTGAGAGTGATGGGGTGGAACAGTGTCACTCTCACACACGTGTGTTTGTTTAGGCTTTAGCACTCGGCGGCTTCCAGCGAGGTGTCAGAACGGAGCCTCACTTCTGTTTCACACGTCCTTTTTCTGAAACTAGAGTGGTCATGTCATGCAGGGCTCAAAAAGAATGATTAAAGCGTTGCTGCATGTTCTTACGTTTAGTGTGGTCATGATATCAAACTTGTATCAATACCAATACCATTTCATGGTTCTAGCTAAATAATAATCAAATGACCACCATTATGTAAATGTAATTATGGTTGTGTGTGTGATATTTTTGTCCTGCACGTTCACATTCACGAAACACAAATTGGCTGTCTTTAATTTCATATCACTTTTTTTACTTTATGATCAACAAAGGATGCACAATGAAGCCTTGATGCTATTTATAATTACACACACACACGCACACACACACACACACACACATATATATATATATATATATATATACTCTATATATATATATATTTCGCTGTGGCATTAAAATCTGAATTAAACAAACATAATACATCCATTTGGGGTAAATATGGTAACAAGGTGTACTATTTCAAAGTACAGTCCCTGTGACCGTTTTTTTTACATTCAGTACAATATTTTGTGAAAAATTGTAATACACTAACATTCAAATGTTTGGGCAATGAAAGATAAAAAATTAAAGAAATTAATACTTTTATAAAACAAGGATGCATTAAGTTGAGACAGGATGCAAAAGTGACAGTAAAGCCATTTCTAGATTTCAATTTCTAATAAATTCTGTTCTTTGGAATTTCATTCAGACTTTAATATTTCATATCAATCAAAGAATCCTGAAAAAAAGCATCTCGAAAACATTCCACTAAAATATTAAGCTGTTTTTTTTTACTTTAAAACTTTAAAATATATATATATATATAAAACAGTTATTTTAAATTGTAATAATATCAACAATGTTACTGTGTTTACTGTCATTTCAATCAAATATGGGCCAAATGCAGTCTTGGTGAGCAAAAGAGACTTCTTTCAAAAACATTAGAAAATCGTAGTTATTCCAAACCTTTGACTGGAAGCGTCTGTAAATATTTCGTATTATTGCACTCCATCGTGTATCATTGAATTTTTCTTCTCTGATAAAATCACTTTGTGTTAGGGTTATATGGCTAACACTGTTTTTGTGTGATCAAGGACAAACGACGCTGATCCAGGACCACGTCCTACTTGGCAACTTCACGGTCAAGTTTTTTAGCAGAGGATGAATCGTGAGCTTACAGGTGCGATCAGCTTTAGATAACACCTCTATGCATTACTTCCACCCCCCTCTTGCAAAGTGTCCCGTTTACTGCCGGCGCGCTGGAGGTGTTTAAGGATTGCGCCCCGCCGCCTCCGTGCTCCCGTGAGCTTCACACTTCATTTGTACGGAAACCTCCCAGCGGCAGCAAATACTTCACGAGCGCTGCCAGCATAAATCATCAGGCCCGACAAGCCCGTCTGCAACCTTCAGACAGCCGTGGGACACTAAGGGTCTCTATTTTCAGATGTCCCGCAGGTTTCACCCTGTTAAAGGCGTCGGGGCATTGTCCTTGGCACACCTCCAGCCAAACTGGGACAGCACTATGCCGATTTGATTGCTTGTGAAGTGATTTGGAGCAACCGGGGGCTTAACTGTGTGAGAAATGACTGACCCTCACAACACGCTGTGAAAGCAGAAGCCTCCTGTTTCACCCGGAGAGAACGCTAGGAAATGATGCGTAAATCAGTCTTCCTCAAAGAAGGACACTGAGGTGTTCGGAGAAAAGACTTCTGCTCAGTTCTTGCACTCGAAAAAAGAAAAACGTTCAATAAAATTCAATTAATTTGAGGGAAACATCCTAGCAATAAAATTAGTTATTTTTAAAAGAGAAAAAATTGATTTGTTATAGTCTTCAGTGAACAAAAGTAAACATTTAAATAATTTTGTTACCTGCCTTTGTTGCCTACCTACACTCTTAAAAATAAAGGTGCTTCACGATGCCATAGAAGAACCTTTTTGTCTAAATGGTTCCATAAAGAACCTTCAACATCTGAAGAACCTTTCTGTTTCACAAAAGCTTCTTTGTGGCGAAAGAAGGTTCTTGAGATTATAAAAAGGTAAGAAAGAGATGGTTCTTTAAACAACCTTTGACTGAATGGTTCTTTGTGGAACCAAAAATGGTTCTTCTATGGCATCGCTTGAAGAACCTTTTGAAGCACCTTTATTTTTAAGAGTGTAATGCAAAGAAATTAAAACACTGATTGATTGATTCATTTATTTTGATTTATTTTGATTTATTATTTTACCAAACATTGACATTCATTTGATCTGGCATACAACAATAAGCAAAGAGTATATTATTTATTTTATTTTATTTTATTTTATTTTAAATAAAGTAAAATTAAATAAACAGTTTAAGTGCATGATCTGAATTAAATGTTTTTTTAAATTCATGCAATGAATTATGACTTAAAAGGGATATCAGATATATTAATAAAAATGCATATAAGAAATAGTTATATATATATATATACACACATACAGTGTATATATACAGTATATATGTATGTATATATATATATATATATATATATGGCTTTTTTGTGAGGTAATCTCACAATGACCTATTTTAGTCTTTTACTCCGAGACAGAAAAACAATCATCCATTTTTGTTTTTGGAGCACGGCAACAAGAAACCTTAAGATCCATTTATCAGCAGCCGCTCTGAGTTTTGTCTTAAAAAGGCCAGAGATGATGTTCCTAATTCTTAGATTGTCTCAGCATTTGGCTTTTGCACTATCAACCCCACTTTTGTTTGATACGGAAAGACCATCATTAGTTCTTACTCTCTCTTCGTACTTGTTTATTTTCACTGAAAACCGTCAGGCAACGTGCCGAGCTCAATGTCATTTTTTAATGTAGCGGAATTTTTCTGTTTTTATTTACATTCTGTTTAATTTCAGCTATGTTCATTTCAGTTTGATTCAATTCATTGTAGTTGAGTTGTTAAGCTCAGTTCAGTTCAACACATCTAAGTTTAGTTGTCTCACTCTCAAACTGAATTTAGCTTAGCTCTGTCTTCTGTTCAGTTCAATAATGTTGCGCCCAGTTGAGTTGAGTTCAGCTCAGTTCAGCTTATTTATTAGCTGCTGAACAGCATTTTTAAATGACATTTCTAAACGTAACAGATTGTGGACGTGTTTTAGTAATTATGACTCAGATACAGACGTTTAATGAAGTACTTCCTTGATGATTAGCTCTTTTTGTTGGTCGTGGGAGTTTTCCAGTGCAGCCATATATATATAATACAGACTGTCAACCATTTAACTAGAGCTCAGTGAAACAGCAGTGAAAGTAGTTTTTCTTGCTCCCCTTGGTGCGTCCAACACGAGTTCACGTTTTCTAGGAAGCACCTGCTCTTGAGGTGTTTTTAATGAAGTCAATCACGATTGCAAGACTTTTTATTTTTGAAAAGGGGTTGAAAGTAAATTTACAGTTATATATTTTTATATCGTTTAATATTTGGTTTATATAATTAACTCTTTCATGCATAGTGTCATTAGAAAAAGACAAATTCATGTGTTAATAAAAATATGCATTTTTTTTTTTTTTTTACAAAACCATTGAAAACTAATTTGATCTGTTCCTACCTTAAGTGGTTAATTCATGCATTAAGTTAACCAGATTGCACATTTGTGTTTATCAAACTGCTTATTTTAACAGTGGTACATACAGTCAATATAATCATCATATTTCCCCCATTAATGAAATGAAAAAACAAAACAGTGAGTTATAACAAAAAGCCATTTTTATTCTCAAAGACAAATGATACAATCATCAGAAATGCTCAAAAATCTCACCATTTTCTACTGGATTGTTAGTCCCATACAAACAGGTTAAAGTTCACAAATGCATGTATATATTTCAGAAAAATACGCTATGTTTATGTATTAAATATATTTATTTATAATATAAATTATATGAATATAAATATAGACGTAAATATTTTCAAAATATATACTGTATGTGTGTATATATATATATATATATATATATATATACATAATAAATATACACAGAACACAGACATATATTATGCAAACAAAAACTTTTATTTGGGATGCGATTAATCGCGATTAATCGTTTGACAGCACTAATATTTACATTTATTAAAAGTATTTATATTATCATTACTGTTTCACTATGATTTGGAATAAGATTTTTCACATTAAAGTAGTTTTTCTGAATTGGAAAAAAATTATAATCCTGAAAGGATTTATTTTCTTCATGCTAAATGTAACTTCTTGAGTAAAATATAACCCGGACATGCATTTGTGTTTTTGTTTTTGCCATTTAGGCTTCATTTGTTTTACATCCCTTTAAAAGAAGAAGTGCTTTGTTCTAAACAAAAATAGAAATAAAAAGACAAGTGACGATTGTTTCAGAAGGGCGCTGCCAGCAGCCTATTAACTTACATTTGGACAAACATTCTATCAAGTACCACTTGTTGTTGAATCCAAAAACATACACAATATTCTTCAAAGACGCCAACTACAAAGTGTAAAGAAAATTGCATTATTGCAAATATAATTGTTTAAAAATTGGTAGCATATTTGCAGGAGTTCTCTTGTCAGTGATAACTTCATCCCAACTCATTATGGATTGCTGACCAATAAATAAATTCTAGAAATGGAGATGATAAACTTTTCTGGTAAACATCCATTGTGTAATTTAGGCTACTCTATTTGATTGTCCGTTCAGTAAAATGTCTTGCAGCCCAAAGATTCTGTTGTCTAACATGCCAGTAAAAGTACTTGATTATATTGTACCTCAAGAACCTTAGCACACAGCAAAGAGACATTTCTGAGTTTGATTGTTGTAGTACAGTTTGCATAGTGTTTAACTAACCTACAAAGTGCAGTTAACCATCCAGTTATAGAACAGAAGGCTGACGATCGTATTGGTTTCATATCTGCACAAGAGACGGAAACTGGCCGTTTTATTATTGCAAGTGCATGCGTGAGATTTGATCATGTCTGTATCTGAAGATGCAAAGGTTTAGGCCACTGCTGCAAGAGTTTGGTCGTTCTTGTAGTCACCGAAAAACATTAAATAAAAAATAAATCTAAAATAAATTAACTAGACAAACATCGGATACCAAAATCAAACAAGTGGAGAGTGCAGCACGTCAACTCTCGTAACATACCTTTGTACATTTATTGATCGTTTTTGTTATAGACGTTACTTACTCAGATGTACTCACTCTAAAACATTTCTGGATGTCTTAATATGTAACGTTTCTGACTGAGAATTTATTCTGAGAAAAATCCACAAACGTTTAATTGTGGATATAGTCTTACAATGAAATGTCCTTCCTTCATTGCTTACGTATCATTGGATTTTCTTTTTGGTTGCTTTACAATAACAATAATAATAACAAAGCATTTAAATTACAAAACGAGTAAATATTTCATTAAGTTATTAATAGATGTCCCAAAAATCAAACGTCTTAAATTTTGTCCCTCTAAACACATTGCATAATTTAAAGTTTATATGGCTTATATTGCTTCTCGAATCAGTACTGTTTGCTACCATTTCATACATAAATTAAAATAATCAGAGGGAATTAGCCAGTACTGTTTCAAATAGCTGACTTCTAGCACGCATAAATAAAAAAAACAATTGCTTTCAGTGTTAAGAAATGCTAAATTTACCGAGTTAGTATAAAAATATTCTGCGCCAATAGTGTGGATGCATTCCTATTGCAATGAACGTTTACTCAAGGACAGAAAAAGGGATAGTTCATCCAAAAATAAACGTTCTGGCATCGTTTACTCTTAAATATAGGTCTGTTCTTTGCACAAAGCTATTGAATGAGCTCACAAGTCACTTTGTTGGTGCTTTTCGGAGTTTAAAAGCCCCAAACACCAGGCATGACAGTGACAGTACACTTTTGTTGTATCTAAATGTGCAGCATCAGCATCTCGTTTTGTGTTCTGCAGAAGAAAGAAAGTCCTACGGGTTTGGAACGACATGAAGGTGAATGTATTTTCATTTTTGGCTGAACTATTCCTTTAATTTCAGTGACTTGCATTATAGGTTATATCACTGATGAAGTGGAATGTCAGATGAATTAGACTAAAGGTGCGTTCACATTTACCGTTGCTCTGCAAAATTTAGCTTAAATATTGCTAATATGATCGCACCTTAATGACGTATATCATTCCCTGTAAGGGTCATCTGTTTTATAGAAAAAAACCTCAGTGTAGTCATAAAAATACACTGCAACCATTCAATGTTGTACCAATGAGTACCAGTGAGTACCAATGAGTACCAATGAGTTTGTGCTTCTAATCCGATGATTCTTTCAAGCAATTATCTCTCGCTCTTGGTCTTTAAGGCTAACAGTGCTGCATTGAGGTCTCGTTCGACCAGACCGTCTCAATATGGTCTCCAAACGGACTCGTCCATCCTGCCGCTGGAGTTGAGAATAGTTGGCGAGCTGCTGTGGCTGCCGTCCGCCTCGCCTCCGTCCGCCTGATTGGGCAGGTTGGGGTTGATGAGGGTGCTGCCAGTGGACGCGCTAGTGCAAGGCGGCAGCATCCTGGAGGGGGATCGATCTCCGCCTGGCACCATTGAGAACTGGTACGAGCCGGACGAGGCGCCGTAGTAGAGGTACGGCGTGCTGCTGGTCTGGAAGGGCCCACTTTGGTTCTGGGTGGAGCCGGGGTACGGCGGAGGCAGGTAGGTGTGGTAGTGGGTGGTGCTGGACATGCCCAAAGACATGCCCGAGGTGACCGGTGTAGGGGTGTATGTGAAGGTCGCGGGATAGTGCATTCGGGGACTGGGGAAACGGGAATCTGTGAGGGAGGACAAACCGGGAAATTGGCGTTCAAACTGCCGCGGATCGGCCGAGAACGGACTGAGATCCGACGTACCTGGTGGAGAGAAAAAAGAACAGCTTTTTTAGTGATATTTAAATCAAGAAAAAGTTTTGAGCATGTCTTCTTTCAGTGCGGTTCAAAAGTCTGGGGTGCACTATAGTGAAAATGCTTTTTTGTGCATTTTTTTTAATTGCTATATACTTTTCAGTACTATTTCTGTTATATCATTTATTTATTTATAATAATAATTTAATACTTTTTTATCATTTATTTTATTTATTTACATACTGGTAAAAAATGTATAGCCTGAATGCACTCTAAGTCGCTTTGGATAAAAGTGTCTGCTAAATGCATGAATTATTATGAATTATTATTATTATTTATATAATCAGAGCATTTATATGGTACGAAAACTATCAGGAAAATTAGGGTTAAAAAGGTACAACATATTGATTATTACAGTACAACATAATGTTAATTTTACTCATTGTTTTTGTATAAGATAAATGCTCTGATTATATAAATCAATGATATAATCTGATGTTTATAGATACATTTTCCATTAAAGTTTTCATTGTGTTAACGAACAATTGTGCATTTTAACTTTATTTTACTTATCTATCATGTTGGAAAAAGTGCAGAATCTGACATATTTTCATTTTACATTCTACATTTTCTTTGTATCTATTTTTTAAGCCTAAAAAAAGTTACATACTATACTTTTGGGCCCCATTGCATATAACATTCAGTTTTAAAATGGATTTGTTTATTTCAGTCTATATGGGTTATTTATACTATCATATTTTTTGTAGTTAAATATTTCGTTTTGCAAAATGCTGCTGGGTCACCTTAACTCTTTTCAACTCAGTTGTATTTATTTATTAGCTGGCCTGTGACACCCTACATTGTTTTTGAACTAGATGCATGCTCTCAAGATAAATATAATGACTTCCACATCAATTGAGACTGAAATGAATAAAGGAACATTGTTAAATCAGACAGAAGAGGGCGCTGTCAAACTTAATTAGCATACAGCTTAAACTAACTAGCCTGTCAACACAAAACTCCCCTTTATAAACTCAAAAGAAGCTTGTGAAGAATGAAGCGCATGCAACTTTATCTGCATTTCTCTTCCAAATAATGAATGTGAAAAATAATGGAAGTAAATATGAAGATGCTCTCCCAAACAATTTGATTAGAGTGAAAACAGTTTTGTCTTTGTTATTATACGAGTGAGTGTTTGAACGCCCAAGCCACGAACGCGTCACAATCACACTTCAAAGTGCAAGAAAAAAGTTCATATTGTTGCTCATTGATCCTGTTTGTGCCTCCACATGAACAGATTCTCTTTACAAGCTCAGTCTGAGGAATTTTAATCAAGGAAACTACAATAAATATTAACCGACCGACAAGAGAAACTGGCTCATCTCACATGTCAGCGGTTTAATTACTCTAGCAAAACATAAACTTGAATTAAATGTTTGTTTGCAACCTGAATTACACAATGCTTGGGTTGATTCAAGGTCAAGATGAAGACTAATGCTGCAAAAATGTCACCGGGCCATAAAAGATCAATATGCAAACGAACTTGTCAAAAGGCGCTGACGTGCTGCTGAAAGATTGTGAGTTTGGCTTCTGGCTGTTTGTTTCTTGAGCGGCGTTTGCTGAAGGTTGTCCGGGGGTTTGTATGCAAACGCGTCGTGTGCGTTCACGCTCACATGCGCAAACACACGCATCCTCGCATTTATATGAATATCAAAGAGAAATGTCGGAATAAACTGGGAGCGCACATGGAAACGTTTAGAGGAAAATCAGTTTCCACAGGATGCATAATGAGCAGTCTCAGATGTGGTGGCATGTCTGCGATTAGCCAAAGAGAAGGGCCGATCTTCTCTCTTAGAACCACAAGATGTTTTTAAATTATAAACCACTAATGGGCTGTGACTCCCAGAACCCCAGGAGAGAGAATCCCAGAGGAACGTCTTATCATCTCCACATCTGTCTGTTTTTGCACTCTGCATTCATCATGATCTGCTTTTCAAATGGAGCCGCCTGCTAAATTAAAGGCTATAAACAAACAATCCCAAACTCCTCTCCTCTTTTCCTTTCCATTGCATTTCCCCTTTCTTTTCCTTTTCTTTCTTCCAAACAAACCCAAACTCTTTTCTCTTCCTTTCTATTTCCCCTTTCATGACCTTTCCCATTTCAGTTACCCATTTTATTTCCTTTAGTTCACAAAAAAGTAAAATCCTCTCAACTCGCGTTCTTTTCCCATTCCCACATTTCTTTACTTCATACAAACCCAAACTCTTTTCCTTTCCACTTCCCCTTTCCTATTTTCTTTGCTTTGCTTCAAATCGAAACCTTTTACTTTTCATTTCTCTGATTTTAACTATTTCCTCTTTCCTTTGCCATTACGCTACTTCAATTAAACCATTTTTTCCTCTTTCTGTTTCCGTTTTCCAGTCCAATTTCCATTTTCCTTTTTCATTTTCTTCAAACCAACCAAAATGATTCTCCTTGTCTCTCCAATTCCCATGTAACTAAAACTCTTTTCCCCTTCCTGATCATTTCCCTTTTTCTTTCCTTTACTTCTTTCAGACAAACTAAAACTCCTTTTCCTTTCCATTTCCCCTTTCCTAACCTTTCCCAGGTTATTTGACCCTTTTCTTCCCTTTACTTCAAACAAACTGAAGTCTTTTACTTCCTGTTTCTTACCATATAATTTCCCCTTTTCTTTACTTATGTAACAGGGCTGACGAGACGTGAGACGTGTGGATCCATCTGCAAGCTTTATTTAAAGAGACGTGGTATAACAGGCAGGGTCGAACACTGGCAAACAGGTATATGGCGGGCAAAAACACAAGAATAGTCCTAGGGCTAGCGTAGGTCACCGATCGGCAGACAGAATCACAGGGGCAAGACGAGAGGGAGAAATCCAGGAAAACAGGCAAAGATCAGAAACCGCAAAAACAGGCAAGGCAAAACAAGGACAACATGGAGACTCGGAACGGGGAACAGGCTAAACAATACTCAGCAGAGAAAGGTCGTTAGAGTGGGTGTTATATAGTGAGTGAGGTGATTAGAAACAGCTGTGTGCAATGAGTGCAATCAGTGCAGTGTGCAAATCGTGCAAAGAATGATGGGATATGTAGTCCGGGGTGCTATGCAACAGTTTGTGTTGTGCGAGAGTCAATGTAATGGAAAGGGTGACCTCTGGTGGTGAATAAACGGAAGTCCATGGACCGAATTCGTGACAACTTAAAACAAACCAGAATATTTTCCTGTGTATTTCCTATTTCCTTTCCAATTTCTAGTTCCCCCTTTTCTGGCAAGCTTTCCTTTCCTTTTCTTTCCATTTCCTCTTTCCTGACTCTTCCTCACTTCAATTCCCCCTTTTCTTTCCTTTCACTTCAAACTAAAATCTTTTTCTGTCTGTTTTTCCATTCCTTTCCCTTTTCCAATCTTCATGTTTTTCTTTGAATTCAAATAAACCAAGTATCTTTTCCTTTCTGTTTCCCCTTTGTCCATTTTTCCTTTTCTTTCCTTCACTTCAAACAAAGTCTCTGGTCTAATCACGTCTCATCCTTCTTCTCACCCTGTTGCTGAGGTAAAGTAGGTTTTTTTATGTCTTTCCCGTCAGCTTGTCTGCTGGTTTAGGAGCGGTCGCGTGTCGTCCATGAGCGCCGCTTTATGAGTGACAGTTCGGCAAACTTTACAGAACATGTGTGGCCAATTATGAGCAGATTGTCTCTCCCCATGATCAACTCTTGACATTTCAAACCAAACAAAAAAGACACTTCAGGGAGACAGTGCAGAAGAGAGGAGACCCAAGTCACATTTCCAAAACAATGACAGAAATTCACATATACAACCTTCAATCACCATTAAACATCGCTCCTCGCTGCAGACATTCACGAGAATGAACCCATTATGCTATCGGCTCTTGCCAGACCCTTTTTGGCTAAACTTAATATGACATCAATCACTTTGTATTACAGGGATGGTGTGGTCTAGTAGCTGAAGCTCAAGGCTAGAAACCAAGAGGATCATGATGGCTCAAGCTGTGACCTATCATCAGTGTGATCTTGCAACCTTTGACCTCAGGTTGCCTGCTACAAGACTGCCTGCTTACTTTAAGAGCACATTAAGAGGTACAGAAGCCACTAACAAAGATGTATCATGGTGTTTTGGGGTCAGTAAGATTTTTTCTTTTTTTTAAATGGATACTTTTATTCACTAAGGATGCATTAAATTGATCAAAAGTAACAGTAAAGACATTCATAATGTTAAAAAAGATTTATATTTTTCTAGTTATTTTAAATAGTAATATTTCACAGTATTACTGTATTTTACTTTGATCAAATCAATGAAGCCTTGATGACTTCATTCAAAATCATGGTACTGCTAAAGTACTTTTTTGTATTCGGTATCTTGGTATATATCAAAATACCATGGTTTTATGGACATACAACATGGTATTTTTTAAATACCATGACACATTATGGTATGTATCAAAGTACCATGTTTTGTGAATATGTACCATGGTATTCTCTGAAGATCCTTAGATGAAGATTTGGAAGATGTCTTTATCCAAAGCCACTTTTTTATCAAGGTATACATTTGATTTGTATATGCATTCTGTGTTATTGCATATATCAAAGTACTGAGATATTCAGACTTGATACCATCATTGAGTCCACCAAACATGCTTTTAAACCAGCCTCCTTAAACAGACTTCCACAAAAGGAAAAATCAAAGTTGAATACGGTCCTCCAGTATCCCGCTCTGATAATTCATCGCTCTCTGTGTAATATTATGCATGCCTTCATCTGCGTCATTATCAGTCACCAGGTCTCTGGCTGAGAGGTGTAACTCAAGCCCACGGTGGAGAAGAACAGTCACGCAAGCAGCTGCAGAGGGTGCGATGTCTTCTGGAGACCGAGCCATTCAGCGGCGCTCCGAGGAAGAATAGGGGGCGTTAGGACCAAGAGGTGCGTGTGTCTCTTTGAGGAAAGAACAAAGGCTGACATCTCCAAGATGAAAGCCGGGTG